ATAAAAATGGTGCTCCAAGAAAAAAATGGCAATTTAGCTTACAACTTAAATGATTTGACCAAGTGCTTTTCTTTGAGGCAACTATCATTTTTTGGTGTACAACAGAACTTTATGTGAGATGCATAAAATTTTATTCTTATGTACATTTTTTTCCTTTTTGTGGAGTTGATACTTGTTTAGTTTTCTGTATTTACCACACACTCCCTTGTTCGTCCTCAGAAGAGTTAAAAGCCCTCTCAATACTAGTTTCCATGTGGTCAAATGTATTGGGAAATTTCTGGTTTTCCCTGTGGAAATACTACTCAGAATTTTTATCCTCCTGCTCCAGTCTGGACTGGCTGTACTTTTCATCTGATAGTCAGCTTTTGTAGTTTTTTATATCACCATTCTTAAAGAAATTTTCTTCATTGTTTTCTCTGTGTTACATCTCTTTTTTGGGTGCTGTATCTATTGTCTTCTCTGTCTACTAATTTTGGTGGAGCACATCATCTAATAGCATCCTGAGAGGAAAGCTGTATTTGAGGTACCATTTTTGAGTATTTGCCTATCTGAAAAATGCCTTTGACTGTTCCATTAAATTGATAGGCTAAGCTTAGAACTTTTCGCTCAGAATTTTGTCTTCTAGCTTCCCATGTTCCTGTTGAGAAATTTGATGCTATTCTTACTTCTCTTCCTTTGAGTGATAAATGTTTTTTCCTGAAAACATGGCCTCTTTACTCTTTTGAAATGTAAACAGTAATGTGTCTAGGTATGTGTCTTCTGTTATTCTTTGTGTAGGGTACCAAATGGGTCACCTAAGTGTAGAGATTCATGACTTAAGAAAGTTTCTTTGTTGTTTGAATATTTTCTTAATTATTTTTCTCCTTTCCTTTCTAGAATTTGTTTTACTCAGCTATCATATTAACTAGGTTTATCCTTTGATTTTGTCCCTTTTTGTTTTTTTTAGGTATAATTGAAATACAATCTTTAAAATGCCAGAATCCAGTCAAGGTTTAAACTGTAGATTTGGTTTTGTGTTTTTAAATCTTTAAAGTCTAAATGGTCCTCCCCTCCTTTTTTCCACCTTCACATTGCCCTCAGTGTTAAGAGAAAAAAAAAAAAATATGTTCAGCCATTCAAAGGAAAGAGCAGAGCCATTAATGCTATCCAGCATCTCAGGTTATAGTTAGGATGTTAAGATCCAGGTACATACAAATTTGTGTTTAAAAGTATTTCATATGAAACATACATTAGGGAAAGTGAATCTGACTGTGATTAGAAGTTCAGGGAAAGGTACTTAAATGAGAGATAAGAATGAAGAAATCTTTTTAGACATATGTTATTGGAGCTGCTTTCAGGAAGTTCTGTAGATTGTGAGATGGTTAAAAAATAGGAGAGGTCAGGCTAAGCCATGAGGAACATAATATATGTAATTGTGACTCTGGTTGCATATTTAACATGTTTGGCATGTTTCTTCCTCAGGGCCTTGTGCACTTGTTTAAATTCTGCTTAGAATGCTCTTGCTCTAGATATTGGTAGGGATCACTCTTACTTGCTTCATGTCTTGACTCTTTCTCAGAAGCCACCCTATCTAAAAATTAAAACTTTACCCTTTCCCTAATTTTTTTTCCAGAGTATATACAACTTTTTAACAAACCATCTCCTTTGTTTATTTAATAGTCTGTGTCCACTGGAATGTAAACTTGAGGGCAGAGAATTTTGTCAGTTTTGTTCAATACTGCTTATCCCTAGAGCTTAGAACTGTGTCAGAAATATAGTAAGGAGAGGGAAAAAATTTGTTGAATGAATAATGAAATGTTTTGAGTAGGACTTTTGGTCCTAGGAACTTCTACATTTATTTTTTAATAACAGCTTTATTGAAATACAATGCACATAACATAAAATCCATACTTTAGGGTTTGGATAAAAATCCAAATTCAGTGGTTTTTAGTATATTCACAAGTTGTACATCCATCACCACTGTCTAATTCCAGAATATTTTCATCACCACAAAGGAAACCCAGTACCAATTAGCCATTATATTCTTAACACTTGAGGACCACTTGGATCTTAAAAGTTCCTGTAACAAGAAAAAAAAATCTGTAAGTGTATATGGTGACAAATGTTAGCTAGACTGACTGTGGTGGTCATTTCACTGTTTGTATATTTGCAGTGTATACAAATATTAAATCATGTTGTATACCCGAAACTAATATTATATGTCAATGATACCTCAATTTTAAAAGGTTTTAAAAGAGGATTTATGGTAAATTTTAAGTTTGATGGATTTTACCACAATTAAGTATAAACAAACAAACTCGAGGACCCCCACAGCTGGTTTATGTGGACATTAGTGATATTTACCTTATTTAAAAGGAAAATGGAAAACTTGTAAGAAATACTTATTTAAAAATAACAATAATAATCCTATTACATGTAAACTTAAATATTTTTCTTAATAAAAATAATCTTCCAAAATTAAAAAATTTAGTGAGTAGAATGACCATTGTTTTTCATATTTGTAAATATCTTTACTATTTGAGTTAATAGAAGACAGCTTGATTATCATTTCTGATGTTGGGATATGGGTCACCTAAGTGTAGAGATTCATGACTTAAGAAAGTTTCTTTGTTGTTTGAATATTTTCTTAATTATTTTTCTCCTTTCCTTTCTAGAATTTGTTTTACTCAGCTATCATATTAACTAGGTTTATCCTTTGATTTTGTCCCTTTTTGTTTTTTTTAGGTATAATTGAAATACAACATTATATTAGTTTCAGTTGTACAAGGTAATGAGTTCATATTTTACGTATTGTGGAATAACCACTACAGTAAGTCTAGTTAACATCACATAAGTAATTACGTTACATCCTCATGACTTATTCTATAACTGGAAACTCATACCTTTTGATCCCCTTTAACCATTTTGCCCACCCCCCACCCCCACCTGCCTCTGGCAGCCACCAGTCTATTCTCTGTATTATGAGCATGTGTGTGTGTGAGTGTGTGTTTAACATTCCACATAAAATTGAGGTCATACAAGTATCTGCTCTCTGTCTGACTTGTTTCACTTAGAATAATGCCCTCAAGGTCTATCCATGCTGTCACAGATGTCAAGATTTTATTCTTTTTTATGGCTAAATAATAATACATTGTATGTATACCATATTTTCTTTATTCATCCATCTGTGGACACTTAGGTTGTTAATATACCTTGGCTATTGTAAATAACGCTGCAGTGAACATGGGTGCATAGATCTTTTTGAGTTACTGTTTTTGTTTTCTTCAGATAAATAACCCAGAAGTGGAATTGCTGGCTTTATATGGTAGTTCTGTTTTTAATTTTTGGAGGAACTTCCATTGAATTTGCTTTGTTAAAGCATCTACCAGGAAATTACACTTGTCATTTGTACTAATATTTTATTGGCCAAACAGCCATGCCAGAGTTTGTTAGGGTGAAATAGTGTAATTGCTTCTGCAGTAAGAAGACTCTGTTATTGGTGAATGATAATACAGTCTACCTTCCCCGTCCCAACCCAGTCTCAATTCCTAAGTGAACTTTTTGTTTCCTGCCTACAAAACTCTGTTATTTTTCACTGATAAAATAAGTATCTTCTCATAACTATGATTAGTTTTAGGGTTCTGTTTGCTGTGTATTACCTTTATTTCCTCAGGCTTTCTTTTTTCTCTTGACGTTGATCTTTCATGTTAGTGGAGTTTTTCAGATGTGTATGGAATATTGGCTATATAGTCATATTTAAGGATGATTTAGTAAAAGGTGACTGATAGCTCTTGTTTCTAGATACTTCTAGTCATCTGGTAGGCTTCAATGGATCAAAGTAAAATGCCTCATGGACCCAGGGTCTCCTCCCTGCAAAAGGGTTATATTACTGCCTTACTCCCACTAACTCAGGCGTGTCTGGGTCATTTATTTCAAGAGAAAAAAAAAAGTACAAGTGACAGTTGTCAATTTGGGGTCATTCTACTGATATTTTTCATGGGCCTTTCAGCTGCTCCAGAAAAGGATCCTTTCAGAGCCTGCTCACAAATATATACACTGGTTGCCAACTTTTGGCCTCAGCTGCAGAATATGCTAGAAATCTCACTATATTATGTATAGACTTAATCCCATTGATTTCAGTATAGCAGTCTTCCTCTGTCAGTCATTTGCTGGCTGTTCTTGAATCTGGAGTTTCTCTAATTAAATTTCTGCAAAGAATAATCTCCATTTCATACAAAGGAGTAGTCTTTTCTCCTCCTGACTGGGAGGGTAGAGGTCGGATTGCATCTTGTACAGTCTTTTTTCAGCCACCATCTTTCACTCTTTTTGAGGTGCTTAATTCCCTCCATTTCCTGAGTCTTTCTGACATTTTGTTGCACAAATCAGCTTGCTTGACAGTGGCATCCTCTTCTGTAGTACCGTTACACATTTGAACTTCAGCTCTGCTCTCTGTAGAAAATCTTCATGTGCTTTACGTTACTGAAAAATTTAACTCCTGTGTGTATTGATGTATGTCCCTTATCCTTTTTATTTGTGAGCTTGTACATTTTACCTTCTGTTGTCATTTTAATGGAGCTCTGGGATGAAGCAGTTGTTGGTTATTCCTTTCCTTTTCTTAGGCATCCCAGGTAAACATTCTCAATTTTATGTTATCTTTTTATTCGATTAGCTAATTGCTCAGTGTTTGTTAGAATTTGCTGAATTATGAAATGAGAAGTTATTTTTCAAGAGTAATCTAAGCTTTGTGTACCCATGAATGTTAATTTTCTACCCAGATATTTTCCACAAGAGTTTCCTTCTCAAAATTTAGTTGGAGTTATTGGTCATGAGGATTCTTTAATAGTGTGAGTTGGGCTACCAGAGTTAATCCCAAAAGCACAATCTGTACTTTTACTATTAGTAAAAGGCATAAATAACATAAAGCTAACATTTATTGAGACTTAACATTTGCCAGCCACAGTTCTAAGTGCTAATTTATATATTAATTCTTTTGAATGATGGTTCTTTGTACTCCATTTTAGAAGAAGCCTGAGAAGATGATGAGCAGATAGAGAGGAAGCAAGACTTGGGAGGCAAGTTGCATCCATCTCCAGTAAAGTACAGACTGAGAAAAAAAGCAGTGAATATAAGAAAATTGGAAAAAATACTTCCTCTTATGTCAGACATTGTATATTTTAAGACAACACCTTTTCAATATACCTAGAGTTTGAAACATAATTTAGACTTAATCATAAAGGAAGTTGTGTAGGAAAGAATCATCACTTTAATTAGTTTGTAAGTCCTGCTACAGCTTACTTTATGGTAATCTCCTTGAATTTTAAATCAGCATGGAAATGCCTTCAATTAAAAAAAATTGAACCCCATCTGATATCTGAGCATTCACACTGGAGAGAAACCTTGTGAATTTACTGAAGGTGGGAAATTTTTACTCACATGTCACACCTCATTGTATGTAGAGATCAGGCTGAAGAGAAACCCTGTGCTTCTAAGGAATATTGAAAAGCCTTAAGGTAGGTGAAAAATCTCATTGAGCAGAAGAAAATTGGAGACAAACCAGTGAATGTAACAAAACTTCATTGAATATTAGAAAATTCATACTCAGAGAGAAAGCTTTGTGCCGCATATGATAAAAGTTTTCTCTTGAACCTTGTCCCTCTCAGTACATTTGAAAGGCCATACACAGAGAAGTCCTATAAATGTAAGAAATGTGGAAATACCTTCAGCCAAAAGTAAATCTTCATTCAAGAAATTCATACTGGAGAGAAACCTTGTGAATGTGGGAAAACTTCCATTCAGATGTCACACCTCAGTCATCAGAGAATTTGTAGTGGGGAAAAAAACTCCTTTGCTTGTAAGGTATGTGGGAAAGTCTTCAGCCACAAATCAAATCTCACTGAGCATGAGCATTTTCATAACAGAGAGAAACCTTTTGAATGTAATGAATGTGGAAAAGCATTCAGCCAAAAGCAGTATGTCATTAAACATCAGAACACCCATACAGGAGAGAAGCTTTTTGAATGTAATGAATGTGGAAAATCCTTCAGCCAGAAGGAAAACCTCCTTACCCATCAGAAAATTCACACTGGAGAGAAACCTTTTGAGTGTAAGGATTGTGGGAAAGCATTCATTCAGAAGTCCAACCTCATCAGACATCAGAGAACTCACACAGGAGAGAAGCCCTTTGTATGTAAAGAGTGTGGAAAAACCTTCAGTGGCAAATCAAACCTTACTGAGCATGAGAAAATTCATATTGGAGAGAAACCTTTTAAATGTAGTGAATGTGGTACAGCTTTTGGCCAGAAGAAGTACCTTATAAAACATCAAAATATTCACACTGGAGAGAAACCCTATGAATGTAATGAATGTGGAAAAGCCTTCTCTCAACGAACATCGCTTATTGTACATGTGAGAATTCATTCAGGTGATAAACCCTATGAATGCAATGTATGTGGAAAAGCCTTCTCTCAAAGTTCATCTCTTACTGTGCATGTAAGAAGCCATACAGGCGAGAAGCCCTATGGTTGTAATGAATGTGGGAAAGCTTTCTCTCAGTTCTCAACCCTTGCTCTCCATTTGAGAATACATACAGGTAAGAAGCCTTATAAGTGTAGTGAATGTGGGAAAGCTTTCAGCCAGAAGTCACACCACATTAGACACCAGAAAATTCATACTCATTAAAAACCTTGTGAATATCTTGAAAGTTGGAAAGCAAAGGAATTTGCACTTCAGAAATAGCCATTTGGAAGGAAAGCATCACAAGTGAGTGAAACAAGCTAAAAGCTAATGGGACATCAGAGGATTTATACTTTAAAGAAAGACATTTGTATGATAAAAACCCTGTGCCCAACAACAACAAAAAAAGCACAGGTAATGCTGGAACTGTGGGTATGTTTCCACTAAAATTGAGAATGGAAGACATGCTTATGATCATTGCTATCTACATAGATTTGTAGATCTTTACCAATGTGATTTAAAAAAATAAGTTGCAAGTACTGGGAAGGAAGAGACTTATTGAATTAACAGAATAGAAGAGATTCTGGAAATATCTATGCATTTTAGAATACAGTAGATAAGGAATCAGGAGGTGAGAAGATAATGGAACTATTTAAAAAATGATTTGGAGGCAATTTATCCTCCAAGGAAAAAAAATGAACCATGAACTATATACAAAGGTAAGATCCTGGGGGATTAAAAAACGAATATGAAAAAGCTGTATACAAAAATGGTTATTATCTTGGGAGTAGGAAAACAAATCTTATAACAATTTACCTAGTGGTTCTATGCTGTTTGTATGCTTAGAAAATAAGTACCAGGCTATTTACTGTGGCATGATTTATAGTAATCATAAATCAGAAACAAATGCCCACCAGGAACAAAATGGTAAATGCTTATGATGGAATGAATCTGTGTATCTGTAAAAGGTAACATGAGATCTACATGTATTACAGAGAAAGATCTCCAAAATCATGTTGAGGGGGGAAATGAAGTTGCAGAATGACACATGACATTTTTGTAAATTTGAATTAAATCTTTCCTCGTAATTCAGTACTATATTATTAATAATAGATATATATGTATGTATGTTTTTAAAATGTTTTTGAGATGGATTGGAAGGATACAGATTAAACTCTTGACAGTGGTTGCCTGTGACGACTGGAGAAGGGAAGGGGATGAGTGGGAGGCATAGGGTAGGGATTAAGGGGGACTTAACGTTTTATATATAAACATCCATTTCTCTTAAAAGCTAAGACTGAAGGTAAATATAACAAAATACTGGATAACTTTCAATTGGTGGTATATGGATATCTTGTCTTATTTTTTGTACTTTTCTGTATTTTAAATTTTTTCTCATTACTAAGAATGGGGGTGAGGATGGGAACACTGTACCTGTAGAAAACATGTTCTAATGGATTCATTCCCAATTAAATACTAAGCTTTTTATAGAAAATATTTCTAAAATTTTATCAATGATGAGTGGATGGATTTGCTTTGTGTAATTTGAAATTATCTATTTTACTAAAATTAAAAATGGCAGAATAACCCAAATCTGTTTTTACATGTTATTGTGTACACTATATGGTCTGCATGTTTCTGACGTTATTTTGCAACATAATCATTCGAGTTCAGAAATTTTTAAGAACTTTAAGGATTTATGCACAAACTTCGTACAATTATTGGTCTTTTTCAGATAAACTGATACTGGAGTGTCAGTTTTCCTGTCCTGTAAATTTCCATGGTCTGCATGTGAATTAAAAATAAGGTTTTGGTCATTTCACTTTTAAAATATTAAAATAGGTTCCCAGAATTTCCACAGTTTTAGATAAATGTCAATACCTATCTCATTTTTAACTTGCAAACTATTTCATTCCTCTTACTGCTTCTGAAAACACACCATTTTTCCCCATATTTTCTTTCCAGCTTTATTAAGATAAAATTGGCAAAATTGTAGGATACTTAAGGTATAAACATGATGATACATATAAATTGTGAAAGCATTCTCCCCATCGAGTTACTGCTTGTGTCTTTTACAGAGGTAAAAACAAAGAGATGGGCATGAGGAACCTGGTTCAGATTGTGGACAGAATTGAGTTTTCTTGTGTCAACCAATCCTTTCTGAAAATACTTTTATTTGGTCCCTTAATTACCTGATAATAGTGTTATTAAAGGTTGTCTTGAATAATGGTGAACATCGGCAATACAGCATTTGAGGTTGATCTCAAAATCTGGTTTAAAAAACTCTTAAACTCACTGGTTAAATGCCATGAGATTACTGTTTTTATTAGCCTTTTTGGAGGAATAACCATGAACTGTATACTTAAATAACTACATAAATCTTAGTTCTTTTTAATAGGAAGTCCCCCACCCCAACTTTAAAAAGGTTATCTATACTACATTAATGAATCAACACCAGATGTGTGTAGTTTTTAAATTGCCTCCATTTACCACTGATAGGTAAAACATTGTAAATATTTTAGTCAAAAACATATTTTCCCAAATCTGTCATTTTTTTCTCCTTAATGTCATGCTTCACTTAGCTCTTAACTGTGCTCCTGTGTTTGTGCAGCTTTGGAGTAAATCAGGCTGATCCCAAGATAAAACCAGGGGAGTACCTTAATGTGTCTGTTGGTGACCCCCTCTCCCCAAACCAGCAAGATTGGCTGTGTTCTCAGAGGAAAGTTGAATCTGAAATTCAGAATTATTTCATAGGGCATGTTCAGGAGGTAGATGAACCCTAAGTACACCTGTCTTACTCCATCCTAATTGGTAAGAATGTAGATAGATATGACTTGACTGTTGGACACCTGGATCATTAGTCAAGGTTTATAAGTTAAATCTTGGTCAATTCCACAATGCCTGGGTACATATTAATTGCTACCTTATATATTGCTACCTTATATAATATCCAAGCCACATGAGGGCCCACAAAACCTTACCACAAGCCCAGCAGAATCTCTAAAATGACTTTAATTTGCAGTCATAATGTGGCATATACTGTTTTAGGGGTTCCTTAGTTGGATCTGTTACATAAGGAATACTATGTCAGCCTTTCTTGACAGCATATGTATTTCATATTTAAGGTGTTCTTTGTTAAAAATACTGTAAACCAACAGGCTATTTTATGAAAAACCTGGCTTTGTAACTTCTTTGCTTACCGCTAATGATTAACAAAGATAAATGTGATTTTTGTCACACAGGCAATTAACCTAGCATTTAGCTCCTTTTCCCCCTTCCAGTGTTTTCAGTGGTTCTTAAGCTTTAGTGTGCATTAAAATCACCTGAGTGGCTTGTTGCTTGGGCCCCACTTCCAGAGTTCCTAACTCAGTAAATCTGGGATGGAAAGCTGAGGATTTGTATCTCTTAACATTGTTAAGTCTTAACATTAAACTTCCCAGATGATGCTGATGCTGCCAGGGACCAACCACACTTTGAGAACTGATGATATAAACCTACAGTCTATTATACGCCAGACATTAGATATATAATAAATAAAAACAACATGCTGCTTCTCTTTTGAGAATATTACTAGTGCTCTCATGTGTGGTTGGGAGAATTTAAATGTTCATTTTGTGATGAACATAATGAAAGAGAACAATGCGCTATTAGGAAAGGACAAAGTGGTTGAAGGTACAGGCGTGGAGCATGTGATATAGGGTCCTAGGTCATTTGTGCCAAAAACATGCTATTTTTAAGTGCAGAGAGAATCTACCAAAGGAGACTTGAGTAAGGCCTGGATATGACTGACAGTTTGACAAGGTCATGTGATGCTTTGTGATGTGTGGACTGAAAGGAACGAGTAGAGGCAGAGTCACGCTTTAGAGGCTGGACAGTGACTGAAGCAAGTTTAGGACATGTTGCATTGGGGATGAATGGAAATGGATAGTTCTGGGATTTATTTGGAGATGAGTTGACAGGACTTACTGAAGTAATATGATAGAGGAAGACATCAAGTAAAATTCAAAAAAAAATTTCTACAAATAAGATGTTGGTTGTGGAGAAATAGTTTGGGAGTGAATAGAATCAAGAACTGGTTTTGGGTACTGTCTTGCCTGAGGGTTTCAGCCTCCGGCAAGTTCACTCTGGATTCATAGAGACTGTGAAATGACAAAGGAATGTTCTTCGGGTAAAAGGGTATCATATACCCAGCTTTATTCTTGTGGCGGTTGGTCAAGCACTAGAATCACATCTGCATCCAGAGGTCTGCAGGTCTATAATCCATCTCTGCCTCTGCCCAGAGCGCACTGGGTGGAGTGCTTTATATACTGACTCAATCAATAATAGCTTCTTGCCAATGGGTATGGAAGCATTAGCCCGGCATTAGGCCAATTACATCATCGAATAGTTTAGGGTCAAGTGAAGAACCTGGCAATAGGAACTTCCTTTTTCCCTACAGGTACATTAGATTTGAAAACTTTGTTTGACACAGAGTGGAAACAACTCGGTGAAACTGGCATCATAAGCCTTCAGATAGTATTAAACATAGGATAAGGTCACTTAAAGTATGTATTTAGAGAAAACAGGAAAGCCTAGATTTGAGCCTTGGCACTCCCCAATATTTAGAAGTCATAAAGGAAAAGTAACCAATCTCCTATGCTAATGACTAGGGGGAAGTTAAGAGTATGGTGTCTTAGCCGAAAGAGCAAAGTGTGTGAGGCTGGAGGCATTCGATTGATTGCCACTACAGAAGTAAGATGAACCCAGTGTCCTTACTTTTGACAATATGTAGGCTATTGTAGCCCTTCTCAGAAACCTTTTTGGTGGAGGGCTGGGATCATAAACCAGATGGAAGCGGCATAGGACATACTGATAAAGAGCATGACTGCTGATCAGCTGCCCTGGTTTTGAAGTCTGGTCCTACCACTATTCTTGAGGCTTTCTGCAAATTTTGTAGCATTTGTTCCTCTGCTGAATTATCTCTGGTACATAATCTCAGAGTTTTGAGGATTAAATAACTCATTTTTAAAACAGTACTCAGCGCATAATAAATGATCGGGAAATATTTCATCATTATTAGACTGAGTTAAAGAGCATAAAGTGAGGAAGAAGTGATAGCAAGTGTAGACAACTTTAAAATTTTTTGTTGGAATCCAAGAAGTGAAAGAGCTTGAGGCAGATGTGAGATTAAAGATATTTTTGTTTTTTTATTAAACTAAAGATGGACTATTTATATTTGTAAAGTAATGGTAATGACCCAATAAGATAACTTTATGAAAAAGTATTTGAGAAAAGAAAATAAGCTGTTGCATAGATAAACCCATTAGTGGTTGATAGGAACTGGGTTACTTTCTCTGAACAGGACAGGTGAGAGAATATAAATGTCAATGTAAGCAGATCAGGGAATATGATGGTGAGGGGAAAAAGTTCCTATCTGATTACTGTACTTCCTCAATGAAATATCAGATAAAGTTTGGTTAGAATGAAAGAGGGCTTGTGCAGTAATTGAGATAAAAGGACATTGTTATGCTTTAGAGTTGAAGCATTGCTCATCAGTTCCCAGTAAAATGTATCTTGAGTAAAGCTGAAATTTTTCAGTAAAAATTCCTTTTTCTTCATCAGGCAACCATCATTTAAGACATTCCTAAAATGTGTCCAATTCAAACTGCATGCAGTGGGGATTTTGTGGAGTTCACATGTGGATGTCTTTTCTCCAATGATTATTTTTCTACCCTAAGATGAGTATCACACCTGAGAGAGACTTTTATTCAGATATCCTCCACAAGAAAGGGAATTTTGAGAGTATGTTAAATTGAGTGAAGGGGGTGAAGGCTCAAGATGGCAGAATAGGAGGTCAAAACAAATCTCCTCCCACACACAGAAAGCAACTACAGCAAATACAACAAAACATGAAAATGAACTGAAGACTGCAGAACATACCATCTCTACCTGGGGAAGAAGAGAAGACCACACAGAAAAGGGTAAAGAGGCAGAGCTGCGAACAAGTGGGATCCAAGCCCTCACCCACCCCAGCCCACAGGGAGGGGATAGGTGCCCAAGAACTCTGCACACCTGGACATGGAGATCTCCAGGAATGTGAATCCACATTACATTGGGTTCTGGTGACTAATGGGACTAGACACCAGGGACAGTGGGACACTGGGAGGCTGAGAAACCAGCCACCTGTGGAGGACAGGCACACTCTGCTAGTCCCATGGAGACCCAATACAAAGGTAGCAGTTTGAAAGACTTGGCAGCAGTGGGAGGGGAGTCAGAGAGGTGAGGGTTGGATGGGGCTGTTTCTTCAGGAGAAAGAGCAGGTGGATGATAACCTCCCCAGTCTTTCCTCGGCCCAGTGGGTTAAGCACTCAGGAACCACAGGTGTGCCATCTCCCTTGGTGATTCAACCCCAAGGTGCCTCCCTGTGCGCCACTACAAGGCCAGACCACTCAGCAACTTTAGACTTGGCTGCCTGACAGGCAGAGGGAGACTCCCAGCTTTCACAACCCTGTTTCA